AGAACAGGATCATCCCCACCGAGTCCGATGCGCTGAAAGAACAGGCAAACGCGATCTTCACATCTATTCTCCACACAGAGGTCACCCCGCCGCGCCCGGTCTCTCCGACCCGTCCGGCGACGAACACACCCCTCCCATCGACACCGACGCGCCGCCGGCTGTTCGCGTACAACTCCCCGTCGAATCCAGCCACTCCGACACGCCGGCTCGATGCCCCGACGGACGAAGCGTACTCAATGAGTCCCGTGCGTGCAGAGAGCAGGCTGCTGCTTGAGAGCCCGCGGCGACAGCTGCGTAGCGTGTGCAAGACGCCATACCGGGTGCTGGACGCTCCGGAGCTTGCGGACGATTTTTACCTGAATCTGGTCGACTGGTCGAGCACGAATGTGCTGGGCGTCGGGCTCGGGCTGTGCGTGTACCTCTGGACGGCGCACACAGCGGTGGTGTCGAAGCTTTGCGAGTTGACGGACTCGAACGACACGATCAGTTCGGTGTCGTGGGTTCAAAAGGTGTGTTCTTTCTGTTTGATTCAGATGCTTATTTCCATTGGAAACTTCTGGTGTCTACTTGTGCCTAAGCTACCGTGTTTCCACTACATCTCGTTGGAATACCTCGAGAAGTCGTGAAGATAACGTCTGGCATCCTTGCTCGATTGGTTTTGGGCTTGGGTCTTGGCAAAGCTCGATCTCGCTGGCTTTGTGTCATTGACATCCAGTTGCACGAAATTGACCTGTTTTGTAGGGCACAACACTCGCCGTGGGCACCTTATCAGGGAGTTTGCGAATCTACGATGCAAACACACTACAGCTACAGCGGACATACCAGCAAGCACACACACAGCGAATTGGCGCGCTATCCTGGAATTCTCATGTGCTTAGCTCTGGGTCGCGCGACCGGACGGTGCATCACCGAGACGTGCGGGAGGCGACAGTGCGGCCGTTCAAGCGGTGTCAGGGCCACCGGCAGGAGGTGTGTGGGCTGCGGTGGAGCGGGGATGGTGGACCGCAGTCGGCGATGCTCGCGAGTGGCGGGAACGACAACAAGGTGTGTATCTGGGATCTGCGCGGGTCGAAGCGGCCTGGGCTCGGCTCGCAGGGACGCAACGCGGGTGCTGGAACGAGTGCAAGTGCAAGTGCCGGCGAGGACGCCGGCGACGTGCCGTTACTCAAGTTCCACGAGCACACTGCTGCAGTCAAGGCGCTCGCGTGGGACCCACATGTGCCGGGGATCCTGGCCACAGGTGGAGGCACGGCGGACAAGCACATCCGGTTTTGGAATGTGTCCACCGGGCAGAAGCTGAACGAACTTGACACTGGCAGTCAGGTGTGTGATGTTTAACATCCTGTCGAATTTGCTGCTCATGTTGCTGCAGGTTTGTAACTTGACATGGTCCTTGACATCGCACGAGCTGGTGTCCACACACGGTTTCTCCTCGACAACAGCACAAAACCAGATATGCATCTGGAAGTACCCGTCGTTGGATATGGTCGCATCGCTGACAGGACATACGCATCGTGTGCTCTATCTCGCGATGAGCCCTGACGGCGAGACCATCGTGACAGGCGCGGGCGACGAGACGCTGCGGTTCTGGAATGCATTCCCGAAGAAGGATAATCACGAGGCCAAGCGGGAGAGTCGTCTCGACTACGGACGGCTCATCCGGTGAGGCCCACTGCACCCTATCTTTATTGACTGCATCTTTCTCGCTTCTCCCTCATCTCCTCCCCTCTCCTCGCTCATGGATGCGTCGACGCTCCTGCTACTGTATCCTACACGCTACTAGTTCGTCCACCTGCATCCGTTTTCGCTCGTTGCTCCGTATATCCTACGCTCCATCTACTTACCACGGACTCGCCCGCATCACCGCATCCGCCATATATACACACTCGTATTTCCGCACTGTACATACCCTGCCTTCGCGCTGTATCCGGATTGTTGCGTCCCGTTCACCACACAGTACCCCTCCCCTCTTTTTTCTTTCCTTGCTATGCGTCTCCGCTCGACTCTGTGATGTTGTTCCATCCCATTCCTTCCGTTCCGTTCTTGTAGGGGTTATAGTTATCGCGCATGCATCATTTGTCTCGGTTTGTCGTACATGTACACATGAAAAAAATGCTTTCTGCAGCTCCCTCTGCTGGTCGCACCCGAGGCCATTGTCCAGGTATTAGACGCTGGTATCGATGCTGAGCGCGTCTGTGGCGCAACTCCCATTTCCACTTCGTCTTAAACTCTACCCTCGACGTCGCACGGCTCTTCTCTGAGGCCGACGACCCGCCCAGCTGCGATGGCGCGGCCAAACAACACCCAACTGTTCATGTCCATCGCAGCTCCGCGCGGCGACAAGGAGGAAAGCTTCGAGGTACGCCGAGCCGCCGTTGACCAGCTACACCCCAGTCTGCTCACGAGCAGCTCAGGAACGACGCGTGGAGGACTATCTGCACGCTTACCAGACAACAGGCGCCCCGCCCGCACCCTGTCCTCTCGAGCCGACCGCCGCTCACGCGCGGGCGGCGCTCGGGCTGCCGCCCATCTTCCAACCTCGTCCTGTCGACCCGGACGGCCAGCCTGCGCAACCGAACGGCCATGCACAGCCGAACCAGCTGGCCGGCATACTGACCAACGGTGCGCGGGCGGCGCCTGGTGCGATACCTGAGGCGCATGTGTTTCACCCAGACCGCGTGGCGGAGGACGTGGGGCAGGCCGTGGTGTTCCAGAGCATCACGTTCCAGAGCGAGTTTGCGGGATATTCGTTCGAGGTGCGCCTGCGCGGTGGTGGCGTGGACGTTTTTGTTGTTGTTAACGTTGATATGGCCTGGCCATGCCTCAGGAGCTGCGGCATTCCGCCTACTTGAAGGGCCAGAAGTTCATGCCCGCCACGGCTGTACTTCGTGAGTCGTCATCTTATGCGCTTCATCCACGTACATGCTTATTCTGGCAGAACAACCCCTTGCTCAAGTACCCCTCGCTCAAGTACCCGTCGCTCCACTACCCGTCGTGCCTGAAGAGAGGCTCCAGAGCATAAATTGCAGCGATCTGTACGCGAAACACAGTTTCGAGGTGAGTCCTCGGCTTGGAAGGTGGCCTCTGTCTGCCTACCGTAGTGCGTTGCTCATATGACTTTCCCTGCACTTCAGGAGCTGCGCTTAGCGTTTCTGCGGACGGGCCGTCCGCTGACTTCTAGTGAGATCATCCAGCGCAGTGCGGAATTGAAGCTGGCATAGATCATCGGACTTAAGTTGTGTGCTTTCGGACAAGTGCACAGTTCTTCTCGTGATTTATGTAGCCTACCTTGCGTCCTACTGTATTCTTCGTCGTCACAATGTTTTGGCTTGCTCTCCAACATCAAAACCGGTGTATGAATAAATTACAATGATTGATGGTCGAGTTACAATGATGGAATGACTGCTGCGATACTGCTACACTTGCTCTAGGGGTGATCATACAATAATATCACGTCAGCGTCCAGCGAGGTGCACCAGTCACCGCCGGATGCCCGACAGCCACGACCACATCCGCGCGACACGCTCGACGCGCTCCATCTCCTCGCCCGACACCTCGCCCTTCCACACACTGAGGAAGCTTTCCTCCTCGTCCACATACCGCAGCACCGTCTCCGCGCCCTTCCCCGACGCAAACGCGAGATAGCACCCCGCGATCGCCATCGCGTCCGTCGGCCGGTGCGGCGGTGTCGTCAGCAGCACCCGCACACCCGCCGCACCCCGCGCGGCCGCAGTGCCGTACGGCAGCGCCTGCGCAAGGAAGTCGCGCGCGGTGCGCAGCTGCGCGTCCGTCAGCGCGAGCCCCGCGCGCCCGCCGGCGGGCGCCAGCGCCGCCGCAGGGAGCACGAGGCGCAGGCGGTGCACGGTGCCCTCGAACGCCTGTTCCGACGCGCCGGCGAAGGGCGCGTCGGGCCCCGTGGGGAGGCACACGTCGACGAGGTGCGTGTAGCCGGCCTCGAGCGCGCGATTGGACGTCGTGTCGGCGGGGGTGTGGAAGGCGAAGAAGAGCCCCGGCACGACTTCCTGCAGGTGGCGCTGCTCCTCGGGTGCGGGCACGGGCACGGGTGCTGGCACGAGCGGGGGAACGGGTGCGGGCGCGGGCGTGGGCTGTGGCGGGGAAGCAGACTCGTCATCGTAAAAGGTGATGCGCTTCGTCTTGCGCCGGCGCGGGAGGTGGTTTCGGTGTGGCTGGAGGTGTCCGTGTCCCTTGGGCGACCACGGCGCTGGAGTCGCAGAGTGCGAGAAGGACGTCTTGATCTGCAGATTGAAGCCGCACCGCTCGCGAAGAGGGCGCATTGTATGGACCGGCGTGAGCGGAGGGGGGAACTGCCTGAGCGGACTCGAGGGGTAGAGCTCGATGCAGGGATAGTGCGCCGCCGCCGCCGCCGAGGAGAGCTGGGTCATAGCGGTGGGGGTGGTCATCCTGAGGATCTGGTTGACTGGATAGATGTGTGGAGAGATGTATGGATTGTATGAATAGATAGACAATGTAGATGCGATGCTTGGGGGTATCGATCTACTGCAGCACAATGAAATGAGACAAAATCAAGTCGCAGACTTGAGAAGGACGAACTGATTGGGATATCGTTGGCCTGCGCTCGTCCGATGTTTTTATATTCGGAGGCCACGCGGAGAATGGCACGTATGGAGCGACTTGCACGAGGCGGGAAGGCGGGGACAATAGGAAAGAACGAGGACTTTGCAAGTTTAAAGAAGGGCTGTGATGTCTGCTGTGATGTCTTTGGCGGGCTGTATCAGCTCGTCCTCGAGGAGAACACATGTTATATGTTGCAAGAGCACCGGAAGGGCCGCTGCCAATCCGCGATCCGCGACGTTCCCGACAAACATCCCCGCTTCCCCGCTTCCGACGCCGTCTTCCCGCAACTCAGTCAGAATTCGAACATTTCAACGTCCAGTCCGAGCGGCCGCCGACGAATAACTGCGCCAATTACAGCATCAAGGAAAGGAAGAAGAGCGAGTGACGTGACAAAAATAAAACTTTGGACGCACTGGGAATTGAACCCAGCACCCCCCGCAAACGCGCAATGCTAAGCGGATGTGATAACCAACTACACCATGCGCCCTGACAGAAATGCCATTTTAAGAGAGCATATGATGCGGATGGTGTACTGCTGCATGCGCTCATGCATCCGAGTACCTTACAGTGTAACTTACAGGCCTGTTGGGCCCGACACCGCTACAGATGGAGCGCAAAATGCGTATCACTTTTTTCTGTAGGTATGTATCAATATTGTCTCCGAGTCCATGTTCCGATAGATGACATCACAAACACAGCTTTCCGTGTAGGAGGTCGATTGTCATCGCGGCCCTGAACATACTACTTATGGTACTGAGGTACCTTCCTGTTCAGCTCGAGTCATCATATCCGAAACTACATTCGCTGTCATATAAACACATCGTTACGCCAGAAGGTCCATCATGCGGGGGTCTGTGAGAGTCCATGCGGACCTTCTTATTCGGTGAAATCCGCTGACCGGCCGGACGCAATGCCTTCGATTGTGATTTCCCTTGAAGGACTTACCTCCGAGAATGCGGGGACTGACATCCAATAGCGGCGTGCGGATCGCGCGACTAGATAGTGGTGAGTTGGATTCACCAATCATTCAATTCATATCAAACATGACGAGCAGCGTCCAGCGCGTAAGGCAGCCATCCCCTTGTGATCCCAGCGGTGCTTGTTTCTCTTCTCTTACTCCATGAGAAGCCTCAGAAGAGTCACACGGACCTCTAACGAATCAGCGCTATCTCTTCGAGGGAAGCTCACCGTCGAAGCGTCCGTCGTGCGGCAGTCCGCTAAGCGCCCTTTCGTTTTCTATCTGACGCTCAGTGTTTTCTTCGGGCTATATAAGATGTCATTCCGGTAAGTGTTCTCGCCGTAGAGCGTCGCTTCACAATGGGTATCCTAGTCCCTCTCCTTGCGCTTGGTGTGATTGTGGTTGTCTACTATGTTTACCATATCTTCACCCGGGTATCGGTCTCGGATATACCAGGGCCCAAGCCGAGTTCCTTCTGGCTAGGTATGTCTTTCTGCACTGATTTTTTGTACATATGCTGAATGTCGCAATCATCCAGGTAACCTTCCACAACTACTCCAAGAACAAGCTACTACGGCAGACATGGCCTGGCAGAATGAGTATGGTGGTATCGCTCGCATCAAAGCGCCTTTGGGTGTACGTTATCATCTGCTTCAGTCTTCACATAGATCGACTCACTGATTTGTGTCTGAATTATTAGGAAGATATGCTTTGGCTCTCAGACCCGAAAGCGTTGCAGTACATCTACCAGACATCGGGCTACAACTTCCCTAAACAACCTGAGCGTAGAATCCTCTCTCGTGTGACTGGCGACTATGGTATTACCTGGGCTGAAGGTGATGTCATGCAACGTTTAGTCTCTGCACGTATTCGTACTCAATAGTAACTACAGGTGAGACCCACAAGAGGTTCAGGAAGGTCATGCTGCCTGCGTTCGGAGGACCCGAGGCGAGAGCGCTTCTCCCCATCTTCACTCACTACGCAGAACAGGTCAGTTGATGTCTCCGCTGACTGCATTACATGACGCTGAGGGAATTCGCGCTGGCGCCGTGCTAGATCACGATCAAATGGAGAGATATCTTGACCTCCCTGCCAAACCAGTCGTCCATCTTCAACATTCCCCTATGGATTGCACCCGCTACCCTGGACGCCATCGGTGAAGGTGTGTTCATATCTGAGACGCCTGCCGGGGTCTGCTCAACCAGTCACCAGCTGCTTTCGACTACAAGTTCGGTGCGCTGGAGAGCTCAGAGAACGAGCTCGGGAGGGCCTACGCGAACCTATTGTATGTTGCATGCATGTCTGTGTACTGCGTCGGCTGATAACTTTCACTTCAGCGCGGGAATCTTCTCGTCACCTACAAAATTGACCCTCTTCATGCAGAGTATCGCGCACTACGTTCCGATGCCCCTCCTCGAACTTCTCTACGACTATCTCCCGGGCAAAGGGTTGGACAAGGCTCGTGAGAACCACCGAGCCGCCTTCAAGGTCGCTGAGGAACTGCTGGCGAGCAAGTCACAAGACTTGCTCCTCGGAAAGGGCAATCGTGATGTCATGAGCATTCTCGGTACGGAAAGAACACCACTTCTATGATAGAGTTGACCATTGAAATCCTTCTCCACACAGTTAGAGCCAACGCTTCGGAGGATAAGAAGACCCAGTTGACCCATTACGAGATGTGCTCACAGATGCGGTAAGCCGTCTCGCACCCCCACAGAGCAATCCAAACTGACGGAGCGGGATGCAGGACAATCATGCTGGCCGGGCAAGAAACTACCGCGAATACGCTCGCTTGGTGTCTCATGGAGCTCGCGAACCACCCTGACTACCAGGCGCGCCTCCGCACTGAGTTGAGGGCAAGGGAGAAGATCATCCAGGACCGCGGGGAAACCTACTTCACCGCGCCCGATCTGGAGGCCATGCCCTACCTGCAGGCGGTGCTCAGGGAGACCTTGCGCCTCTACCCGGCGGTCTACCACAATTTCCGCCAGTCCATCAAGGAGGACGTTCTGCCTCTGTCGAAGCCCATCACGACGCTCTCTGGAAAGGTGGTCACCGAGGTGCCGATCCGTGAAGGCCTCAGGCTCGTGCTATCCGTCGCGGCATACAACCGGTCAGCTACGCTCGAGGCTAATCTCATTTGCGCCCACGTGCTGACGGCTTGGCGATGCGTAGGAACAAGGATCTCTGGGGAGAAGACGCGGACGAGTTCAACCCCGAGCGGTGGCTGAGCTCGAAGGGGCCGCGCGGCCCGACCGTTGGGGTGTGGAGCAACCTGTACGTCTTCTGGTTGGCTGTGCCGTTTGGCTTTAGGCATTGCTCACTAAGCCTCCTTGAACGTCGCGGTTGCAGATTGTCCTTTGCGGGCGGCGTGCGCGCATGCATCGGCTGGCGATTTGCGTGAGCACTGTTTGTTTGATGCTTCGTGGGACGTCGCTTTCTGAGGCGGATATGCGTTTTTCCCTGCAGGCTCTACGAGTTGCAGGCCTTCATCACCGAGATGGTTTCGAATTTCGAGTTCCTCCCCACGGAGGACTTCAAGCGCATCCGCAGGGAGAACACGATCGTCCTGGTGCCCACTCTTGAAGGCGAAGTCGAGAAGGGAGTGTCTTTGCCCATGCGAGTGAGGATGGCTCCGCGCGACTGAGCTGGTCAAGGTAGTTCCACCGACCGTACGAAGATGTCTCTCGTTTCTTTGCTGTATATTCTCAAGGCCATTGTAACATGGCAATCCGAAGTCGTGTGTAGAACATTGATGCATGACTGTTTCGAAGGAAGTACAACGATCGTGTGGTAGCAAGAAACCTCGAAACGAACGGAAGGATTGTGGCGACTGTGAACAGAGCGTAGGAAGAGCATTCAACGACGTGCAGGACAATAAGCTATGTATCCACTTTGAGGATGTGTACCGGGCTGGTTGGTAAGCAGCGAAGTATCGTGATCTTGCGATGGATGTCGACGACGAGAGCAGTCTGAGACGGGCATAAGGGGAAAGGACACGTAAGTCTGCAACGGGAGCATCCCACCGTCAATGGGAGAGCCCAGACCATCAGAAATGCTGCAGGGAAAGGCTACGAAGAGCGGTATCTACTCTGCGAAGACGAGGCGCACGGAGAAGACTCGGGTGCAGAGTGCACTCGCGGGTGGCTGTCGCCGACAGATTAGGTAGGCACCAGTCGTAATCATGCTAGGACGATGTGCTTACTCGGCAACGGCCATATCCTTCAGCGCAATCTCGACGTGGCCGGTTTCTTGTCTATTCTTTCCCTTGACGTTACTTCCGCTGTATGGGCAGACGGTGCTAGACGATGCGACCTGCACGCCATATACAACGGGACCGAAGCCAAACATGTGTGCCATCGCCGTCCTGACCCTACACAGCGAGACATCAAGACGCGTCAGCAAGATCACGAAGGCCTTGTCAATTCCACTGACGCGTAGTATACCACACAGAAGTGCGTAACGGGGCAGCGCCTAGAGTGGCGAATCATGTCTCGGTAGGTATGCGATGCACACATCATTCTAGAATTCTGCGTGAGCGTTTATCAGCGGGGAAAGAGCGGCCAGACGTACACGACAATGTCTAGCGTACACCGTGTCGATGTCAATATCATATGGAGATGCGCTATCGCACAAGATACACGTACAGCCTGTGAATCCGGTCACCTGAACACACCGTGAGTCTACTTCGAGCGTCTGAACACGGATGAGGACGCACGAATTCCAAAGGAGCTGTGAGCCGCCGAACGCGGCCAGCCAATTTCATTTTAGGCGTCAAATTAATCTGCATGTGCTCTTAAAGACTTACGGCACGCGTCCTGGAGGACGATCCCCATGACCTACAAAGCCACATACATCGAGGAAGCGGTCAGATACTGGCGTATACCCATGATGTGTTCCAGAGCGTACACCAGAGAGGAGCTCAGCCGCCCACACAGCAAACAGAAAGAACGTGCCGTTCCGCCGCAGGTGGCGTAAGAGGCCAAGGACACCGGGTTCATAGGTGTCGTCCAGTTTGCGTTTCACAACCAGGCCAAGAACACCAAGGGTCAAGCTAAGCGTTGATATGACAGCAACTGTACAGAGGCCCCGAATGTCTTCGTACAACCGAGTGAGAAATTAGCTGCACTGAGACGCACCGGTGCAATACATCGCCACAAATGTGTCGTAATCCCGCCAGATCTCAGGAAATCGCGACAAGCCTGTGCGAGTAGACAGGATAATCAGACATGGTGATCATGGTGCTCGGGTAGCAAACGCAGCCCCGGAATTTGAGAGCTGACTTTTGACCACTACAGCCCACATAATGCTGTGCAGGACACCCAAGGTCGACGATATATAGTAGTTCTTCCAGATGGAGCTCCTGCGAGATTCGTCAGTGTGAATTCTGGTAAATAAGCAAGAACCGAACGTACACGCGCTCCGTCATAATAGTGAGAGATAGACCCATCGAGATCGCGGTCGTTATCTGGGAACGAGAACTACAATTTCAGCAGCCACCGTGCACATTTTCGTGCATAGCACAGACC